GGCTCGCTGTGTGAGCGTGGCGAGTCTTTGACCCTCTCTGGTCCCTCGTCCTCCCTCCTTCTGGAGCGGGACAGAGCACAGCAGGGCTGCTTCCACAGGCCCCCTTCAAGCATGTGGCGTCATCCTGCTGGTTTTCGAGATGTCTTGGTCCTTGATCGGGAGGAGGTGTCCTGATTGCGGGCGTGGAGTTCCGGGGGTGATTCAGGCAGGACGCTGGTCGCGGGCTGTTGCTAACACATGTTCTTGCAACAGCACACCAGGGTCTCCTCTCTGCCGCCCCCCCCCCCACCAGCAGACACGTGTCGGTGGGGTAGCTGGCCAGGGAGACCCCTCAGGGCTTGAGGTGTACACAGGCCAGCCTGGTTCTTCAGTCTCCATCCTTACTGCCCTGAGCACAGCCCCAAACCAAAAGGAAGTCAGTGTGGCCGGGTTTGGGGGCGGGTAGTGTAGAAAAAAGGCAGTAGTGGCCCCAGAATATGTTTCCACGTTTCCCCTGGCCGTGGGCATGCGGCTGCCGGAAACGTGTGGGCCGGTCCATGGCAGTCTTAGGGTCACTGCTGACCCATCTCCAGACTGCCTGCCTGCAGAGGAGCTGGGGGTCCGGAGTCGTCAGCGGTCACTCGGGCCCTTTGCAGCCTGGGGTTTCTTGGGCAGGGGTGTGGTGGGCTGGCTCGGGGTCACTCGTGATGATGTTGGGGGCGCCGTTGGGGTGCTGGGCTTGAGCTGCCTCTCAGGCTTGCAGGGTTGCAGGATGAGGCATTGTCGTCGGTTCTCTTTGGCTCCTGCCTTGGGGTGTCTGGTCGCTCAGGAAGCAGAGGGCAGGCGCCTCTCCTGGCCGCTGTCCGAGATCAACCCCCACCCCCCACTCCCGGTCCCCATTCTCTGGGTGTCCCCCCTCGCCCCCGACCTCAGCGAGATCCTGTGGTGCCTGGCGCCTTTGCCGGGGCTCCCACGGGCTGGCTCCAGGTTGGAGCGTGGGCAGCAGAGGGCATTGGTGGGGGGCCATCGTGCCCCCCACTCCAGGCCTGAGGCTTACCTATCTGCCAGGCCGCGGGTTGCGTTCTAGATGCTGCAGGATGGGAAGAGAGGACGCTTGCCTTCATGGACATCGGGGGGCAGCCTCCAGTGAGGGGGTGGGTGGGGGGCTCTGGAAGCCCCAGGAGGCCTCGGGGGCTCCCTGGTTCTACCCTGACTCGAGGCCAGCCCAGACCCCGCTGGACTGAGTCACTGGGGCTCTTGACTGGGGGATCAGAGTTAACAGCGACCTTTCCTTCCTCTATCCAGCCCGCCCCTAGCACCCCCAGAACTGGGGTTATTTCTCACCCCTGTGCTGGGCCCTGGTCTCGGTGGGCAGCACCCCCAAGCCTGGGGTCTGGTTAGAGCACCCCTTTCCTGCAGCAGTGGTAGGAGCCCCAAGATTCTGCGCCCCCTGTTCAAGCTCCCAGTGCCCCCCCCCCCCCCCCCCCCGCCTCAGTTCCCCACCCCTGACTGCCGCTAGTTTGGGGCTGGCACCGAGTGGCCTGGCCCGGGTCACGGCGGCGTCCACTCCCTTGGCCGTCGGGGTCAGGCCCCTGCCCTCCTTGCATGCCTGCCCGCCCGAGGTCACGCAGCTGGGAGTCCGCCGGGCCTGGCCTCTGGGCCGCCGCCACCTTGGACAGGATGCGGGTGGGGAAACCCTTTTCTACGGAACAGCCCGAGCTCCAAAAGCCACAGGAGGCTGCCGAGGCAGCCAAGTGGGATGTAAATCAGGGAGAACCCAGGGCCAGCTCGGGCCAGGCTGGCCACGGCGTGGCCTGCCAGCTAGCTCCGGGTTACGGGCCTTGGTGCCGGTCAGCGGGCAGGGGAGCCTGGGGCATGGGGCTCGCCCCAACGAAGCGCCGAAGCCTCCGTCACCTCCTTCTGAGTTAGGGGAGCCCTGGGGGAGCACCCCGGGCCCGAGGGGTCAGGCTCAGCGCCTCCCTGCCATGCAGGTGTCTTTCTCCCCCGAAGGTCCGCCTTGAGGCCATCCCCTCCCTGGTTGGGGCCAGCTGTGACCTGACACCTGTCCTCCCGGAGGGGCTGTGTAGGGCAGGTGGCTGTGGCCCCTGAGCGGGCTTTGGGGGCCCCGGGAGCTCGCTAGAGCACAGGCAGAGGAGGCCCCATCAGTTCCGGTGCGGAACGCTGAGCAGGCCTGATTTCACTGTCAGCAGCCGGATGTCCAGGAATAGGGGGACAGCCAACCCTAATTTTGGTGACAGACACTGTTTTGCAGTAGAGGCCATGCAGTCCAGGACCTCAGACCATTAGGTGGTTGGTGACCCCCACTTTTTTTTTTGAAGTTTTGGGTCACACCCGACCAATGCTCAGGGGTTGCTCCTGGTTCTGCACTCAGCAATTACAGGGGCTGGAGGACCCTGTGGGATGCCGGGGATGGAATCCGGGTTGGCCACGTGCGAAGGCCCTTTCCACTTTGCTGTCGCTCTGACCCCGTCCCTCCTCCCCCCTTTTTTGAAGGCTGAGTGTAGAAAGAGCAAAAACTTACACAGCAAAGCCCAGCCAACATCTAGGTCTGTGCCTTTCGGGTGCGAGCAGAAAAATTCGTTTAAACTAACATTTAAGTCAAAAACTTTCCTGGGGACCCAGAATGGCTTCCTGGCTCAGTGCTCGCTCGCCAAGTGGGGGACTGTGAGTTCCAAGTCCCCGGCGGCCTGCAGGTGCTGCGTTGACCCCTGACCCTCTGTTAGGTCTTTCGGGAGGCCTGGGAGGTGGCGCTCAGGTTTGGGAAATGCTTGGGGCAGGCGTGAGGCCCAGAGTGTGATTCCTGGGAGTGATTCCGAGTGTCCGCACTCAGGACGCTCTGGGGGTCCCCAGCAAGGGGAGAGAAGAACAGGGAAAAGGACGGTGACTGAAACCTTTAACCGAAAACCCGGGTCCCTCTGCTTCAGGCATAGGGAACACCCTCATGGTCCCATGACCCCTGCTCCTACCTACTGCTTGGTCAGATGCTTGCCCCTGAGCCAGCTTGGGACTTCTGATTGGCCAGGCCTGGTCACATGCCCCATTCTTTTTTTTTTTTTTTTTTTTTGCTTTTCGGGTCACACCTGACGATGCATAGGGGTTACTCCTGGCTTTGCACTCAGGAATTACTCCTGGCCTTGCTCGGGACCATATGGGATGCTGGGAATTGAACCCGGATCTGCCGTGTGCAAGGCAAACGCCCTACCCGCTGTGCTATCACTCCAGCCCTCCCCCCTGTTTTTTTTTGCATTTTTGGGTCACACCCAGCGATGCACAGGGGTTACTCCTGGCTCTGCACTCGGGAATTACTTCTGGCAGTGCTCAGGGGACCCTATGGGGTGCTGGGAATCGAACCTGGGTCGGCCACGTGCAAGGCCCTACCCGCTGTGCTATCGCTCTAGCCCATAGGCTCCATTCTTATGATCTGGAAATGGATTCTCAAAATAGGAAGTGGGCTCAGCCGGCCCAGGATATGCAGGCAGTCCCCCACAGACGGACCCCTCCTCCACCTTCCGGTGGCCGGCTCACCCCGGAGTCGCCTGCTCCCAGCTCCCTTGACTCGGTGCCTTAGACATGGACCTTTCGAGACCAGGGTTGGGTTCGATCCCCAGTACCACCAACCAAATACATATACATATAAATAAGCCCTCTCCCCTGTCCTGGACAGCACGGCCCATGCTGCCACTGCCCACAGCTGTCCCCAACATCGTCGGTCCTCCCCAGCCTCCATGGAGCTGCATGTCACCCATATGGCTCCCTGGGCACTGCGGGGGGGGGGGGTCCCTGAGCTCAGAGCCTGGAGTCAGCCCTGAGCACTGCCGGGAGGAGTCCCTGAGCACAGAGCCTGGAGTCAGCCCTGAGCACTGCCAGGTGTGGCCCCAAAATCCAAAAAAGCTTTTTTTCAAGAGGAGGAAGGAATCGAGGTTGGCTCACGGGGGGGCTTTTTTTCTCTCTGCCCTTCTTTCTGGGCAAGTCTGCGTTTGCCGCCAGAGAGCCTGTTGGCATGAACCCATTTCCTGGATTTCCATGTTTTTATGATCTGGAAGTGAATTGGAGAACAGGGAGGGCTGTCCAGCATGGCCTGGGCTTGTGGCCAGGGGGCATGGTCTGCACTTGAGTTAATCTCTTCCCAGCTGACTTCCGAAGAATAAGAGGTGTTTGGGTTTTTGTGGTGATGGTTGTGTTTTAAACAAGCTCATCTAAGGGCCGAGTGTGGTGGTTTGCGTGCAGGAGACCCGGGCTCCATCCCCGGTACCCCCCGGTGACCCAGGCACCAGGCTAGGAGCACTCCAAGCACAGCACCAAGAGCAGCCCCACGAACTCTGCTGGTGTTAAAAAAAAAAAAGACTGACAAAGCTTCCTGGGCTCCACGTCGCTCGGGGGCCGCTCTGCTTGGCCGCGTTTGGCAGATTTCCCGGCGTGATGAGGACTGGGCCATCTCAGCGACTCTGAGGCCCATCAGGAACCCCGAAGCCGTCCCTAGACCCTCTCCGGAGGTCGGACTTATCCCCAGCTCACTGGAACAGCCAGTCCCCGCCGAGGAGTGCGGGCTGGGGTGTGTGTGTGTGTGTGTGTGTGTGTGTGTGTGTGTGTGTGTGTGTGTGACAGTGTCAAGAGTGGGGATGGGTATGCTCGAGCCTGTGTGTGTGTCTGTAAGTGCATGAGCGTATGTGTTTGTATGTGTATGAGTGTGTGTGTGTATAAGTGTGTGTGTGTATAAGTGTGTGTGTGTGTGTGAGTATTGTGTCAATAAGTATTGTGTGTGTTTGTACGTGTGATCCCTGATTGTGACCCCTGATTGGGAATGCTGTGCAGGTGTGTGTGTGTGAGAGAGAGAGAGACTCTGCCCCGGCCTGGGTGTCCCGGGCCCTGCTGTGTATCGGGGTGACATGGGTGAAGACCCCCGTGTGTTCACAGAACCCCCAGCGTGACCATCTCTCTCTCTCTCTCTCTCTCTCTCTCTCTCTCTCTCTCTCTCTCTCTCTCTCTCTCTCACTGCACAGGTCCAGAGCAGACACCTTCTCTGAAGAGCCTCCAAAACGTAAGTGACCTTGACCTTCCCCTCCCGTGCCCGTGGAGGTGTGGAGTGACCCCACGCCGGGTCCAGGAGCTCAGCCTCCTCTGGGCTTGAGGAAAAGGAGGCGGCAGAACCTTCGAGCCCTGAGCTGGGTCCCGTCCTCAGCCCTCCTGGCCCTGCACTGAGCAGAGGGGCCAGTTCTGATGCGGGAGCCCAACCCTGTGCAAAGAGAGCTGGGCTCCCCTGTCTTGTGTGTGTGCGTGTGTGCTTGTGTGTGTGCTTGTGTGTGTATGGTGTCGGGGTTACTCTTGGCTTGATGCTTGGGGGTCACCCCAGGGGTTGCTGGGGGCACCCCACAGTGTTGGGAATAGAATCCCGGCCCCGGTGTGCTGAGTCTGCACGTCTCATTATTAGATGTTCAGAAAAGTTGCAAGAGTGAGCTTGGGGCTGGAGCGATAGTCCAGCGGGGAGGGCGTTTGCCTTGCACGCGGCCAACCCGGGTTCAATCCTCGGCATCCCATAGGGTCCCCCGAGCACTGCCAGGAGTGATTCCTGAGTGCAGAGCCAGGAGTAACCCCTGAGCATCGCCAGGTGTGACCCAAAAAGAAAAAAAAAAAAGAAAAAAGTGAGCTGGGACGTCCCCAGCACCTCCAAGTCCTCACTGGGAACAGTTGACACATGCTTTGTTTTTCTCTGCGGCCCAAGAAGTTTCCTTTCTCTCTTCCTCCCTCCCTTCCTCCCTCCCTCCCTCCCTCCTCCTCCTCCCTTCATTCCCTTCTTCCCTCATCCCTCCTTTTCTCCCTCCTTCTCTCCCTCCCTCCATCCCTCCTTCCTCTCTCTCTCTTTCCCTCCCTCCTTGCACCCCCCCTTTCTCTCTCTTTCCTTCCTTCTCTCTTTTTTTTTGCTGAATCATCGGGGAGTGAGTTGCAGGCCCGATGCCCCTTCACCCCTAATCCTTCAGCGAGATTGTGTTTCGCAAGAGTGCGGCCATTCCTGTCTTATATAAACGTAGTTACCAACCAGGACGTTTCACATTGACACCGCGCCCTTATCTAATCTGTGGGCCGCAATGACATCTCGTGAATTGTTCGTGTGTTTACAGGAGGCTGGGCTCCCGGCTCTCTAGGCTGCAGGCCCGCTGTGGCATTTTCAAAGGGTTTTCGGTGGGGCGGGGGGGGGGGGGGGGCAGGAATGTGACTCGGCCACTTGACGGAGTGCACACGTTGTCCGCACCTTGGTTTTATTTATTTATTTTTCCTGCACCTTGACTTAAAAAAACAAACAATAACCAAAACAAACTTTCCTTGGGGGCCTCTCAAGAGCCATAGATGGCAACATCTACTTTGCAGTGCCCATGTGAGCCGGAGGGCCAGCACCAGGGCCTGGCCGCACGCTTTGGTTCTGTCCCCCAGCACCCCGTGAACAGTGCTGGGAGAAACCCCTGAGCACTGAGCCAGGAGGAGCTCCAGAGCACCGCCAGGTGTGGCCTCAAAACCAAAAGGAAAAGAAAAGAGAGAAAAAGGCGAGCAGACCACACAGGAGAAACCGAAACCAAAGTTTCACTGAAGCCGGTGGCCACGTTGGGGAGGCCTGGATCTTGTCCTGCTCCTGAGACGCTGATGTCAGAGGCTGTTAATGAAAAAAAAAAAAAAAAAACAAAAACAAAAAACAAACGCCTGGTTTTAAAAAAGGAGCACTTACGAGGCCCGGGCAATAGGACAGCAGCGAGGGCCTTTGCCTCGCCTTCGTGTGGCTGGCCCAGGGTTCCATCCCCCGGCCCCCCCGAGCAAGGCCAGGCGAGGTCCCTGAGTCCCTGAGTGAGTCAGCCCTGACCACCACTGGGGTGGCCCCTCTCCCCCCCATTTAAAAATAAATAGAGGGGCCGGAGCGATAGCACAGCGGGGAGGGCATTTTCCTTGCACGCGGCCGACCCGGGTTCAATTCCCAGCATCCCATATGGTCCCCGAGCACCACCAGGAGTGATTCCTGAATGCAAAGCCAGGAGTAACCCCTGAGCATCGCTGGGTGTGATCCAAAAAGCACAAAATAAATAAAAATAAATAGAAAGCACTGTCAGGCCTGGGTTTTGCGGGTGAGCCCCTCTGGACTGTGGAATCCGTGGCCTCCTGGACTCACACTGGCTGAGGGGGGGCATAATACCCCACTCCAGCTCCCTCTGCCCTAGGGTTGAGATCGGTTTGATCGGGGGTGGTCACCTCAGGAGCCAGGACTGCGAGGGAAGCCCCCAAAGCCTCCAGTGCTGTCTCAGGCCTGCCTGTGTCCCCCACTCCCTGCCCGCGGCCCTCCCTGGACGCCTTTCTTCATGGGGTGGCGTTCGATCTGCAGAGTCCATCCCCGGGGGCTCAGCTGTGGGTGCGCCCTGACCAGCCTTGGGGCTGTCCCCGTTATTGGCATGTCCGCAGGAACCCTCCGAGGCTTTTTTTTTTTTTTTGTCGCTTTGGGGCCACAGCGGGCATGGCTCAGGGCTCACTCCTGGCTCGGCACTCAGGGAGCACTGTATGGGGTGCTGAGGATGGAGCCCAGTGTGGCTGCGCGCAGGGCAATTGCTGTACCCGGCATCCTGTCGCTCCAGCCCTGGCCGTGTATCTACTGGCTGCTGCCCTGTGGCCCCGCGAGGCTGCAGTGAGCGCTGCTTCTCTTCTCTTTGGGGCAGATATTTGAGGGGCGGGGTTCCTGGCCTTTGGAAGACCCCAACATCCAGGCGTGGCACCCGGGCACTGCCAGGGGTGGCTCTGGTGGCTGCCTGCGGCCAGACCCAGCCAGGTGTGAGTTCTGTAGTCAGTGGCAGTCGTGTACTGCGAGCCACAGAGCCGGTGCAGTAGGGGAAACTGAGGCTCGGAGCGGTAGGTGAACAGCCCTGGCCGACCTGAGTGCTGCCTGCCCCACCGAGCACTGCCACGCTGCCCTCCCCGGGGCATTCTCCCGGGCCCTGACCCAGAGGGCTGGTTAATGAGTAGCCCAGGGGCAGCTGGGAAACCAGTGCCCACGGAATGTGGGTTGTGCATCCAGATAAGAGTCCAGTGAAGAGCCCCCACCCGGCACTGATGGCTTTATAGGGCAATTCAGAGGCGTCCACTGTTTCCCTCTTCACAGCCTGCCCGTCTGTTCACACTGGGCCGGGTGCCCGTGTTACGGCAGAGGGAGCCGACGCCGAAGGCTCCCGGGCCTGGCGGATGCCTCCTCCACGCAGCCTTCCCAGCCTTGGACTCTTTCGGTGGGGATGGGCTCCCTTATCCTCAGGCGTGGCCGTGGGTGTGGAGGGAGCTTCTTTAGAAACTTGGCAGAGGACCATCCAGGGAGAGGAAGGCCCCGGAGCCGGAAAATGAATCCTGGATTCCCTGCACTTCCCTGAGCCTCAGTTTCCCCATCTGAACAATGGAACGTCTTGGGGGGGGGCTGTGGGTAGGAAGACCGTGAGTGTGGGCTTGTGCACCCACCCCTCGGCCACTGTTGCAGGTCCAGAGCGCTTCAACAGATGCAATCAGGACAGTATCAAGCCCCCCCTGACTGCCTCAGGCCACCCTCCTGCCGGGGGTCTCCCAAGCCCTCACCCTCACAGCTGAAAATCAGCCCCAGTTTCCTGGGTGTGCAGCTTCATTTAGGAGGAGGGGAACTGAGGTCTGGGCTGAGCCCGCAGATCCCCAGGGGCCTCCCCTCCCTCCCCCTCCCACTGTAAATTTTGGGTGTGTGTATGGGGGGGGGAGCAGAGAAGGGGTGTCCAGCAGGACGGGCCCCACTGCTGTTGAGACCAGGACGCACCCCTGGTCAGCAGAGTGTGTGTGTCCCTTGTTACAAAGGAGAACTGGAGGGGGCTGGAGCGATAGCACAGCAGGTAGGGCATTTGCCTTGCAAGCGGTTGCGTGTGGCCGACCCGGGTTCGATTCCCAGCATCCCATGTGGTCCTCCGAGCTCTGCCAGGAGTAATTCCTGAGTGCAGAGCTAGGAGTAACCCCAGAGCATTGCCGGGTGTGACCCCCCCCACCCAAAAAAAGAAAAAGGAGAACTGGAAAGCGGGTCTTGGCACCCACAGCTTTGCCTGCATTGAAGGACGACCCGGCTATTGCTTTGACACATTTAGTGCAATCCCTGGCAGCACCCGGCAGCCATCGTTATAATTTCCTCTCTAGTGTGAGTTATTTTGTGTTTGTTTATTTTGGTTTTTTTTGGAACCACACCTGGTTGTACTCAGGGCTCACTTTTTTTTTTTTGTATGACAAAATTTGGACAGCACAGAGCAGGCAAAAGAAAAAAATGAGGGGGTGGAGCGATAGTACAGCAGGGAGAGCATTTGCCTTGTACGCGGCCAGCCCAGGTTCGATCCCTGGCACCCCATAGGGTCCCCCAGCCCCAACCCCATCAGGAGTGACTTCTGAGTGCTCAACCCCTGAACACAGTTTTTAGGGGGTGGCCTAAAAACTAAAAACATTTTAAAATAAATTTTTTTAAAAAGGGAAGAAAATGAAATTCGTCACTGGCCCCACTTAGCCAGAGATAAGACATCGAGCCATCGTAAACGGTGGGTATTTCATGATGCAATGACTTGCATCATGAAAATGTGTTCTTTTGAAATGGAACCTGAGTGGGGCTGTCTGGGAACCAGCTTCCCTCCTGACACATTTCTGAGCACTTTGGCTGAGCTCTGCCCAGGTCGGTATGCAAATGAGCGGGCGTGGCCTGTGCCCGTGAATATTTTGGGGGAAATCTGTTGTAGGATTTGGGGGTGGGGTGGGGGCACCATCTGGTTGCTCTTTCCCCCTTGTTGTTCAAATCCATTTTGACTGCTGTGGGCCAACCCTCCCTTATTTAATTAACTTCCTGCTTGGTGGGAGATTGGTTCTTCGCGGCTTCTCCTATAAATCCTTATGCTGTGAACGAACCTTTATTTATTTATCTATTTTGCTTTTTGGGTCACACCCGGCAACGCACAGGGGTTACTTCTGGCTCTGCACTCGGGAGTTAATCCTGGCGGTGCTCAGGGGACCATCTGGGATGCTGGGAATCGA